CGGAGACAAACTTTGAGACGGAGACAAACTTTGAAACACAGAATCAGGCTGGCAGACATGCAGATGCTTTGGGGAAGAAAATTATTTCAGTATCAAGGGACCCTAAAACACAAAACCTCCCAGAGTGTCATTTTTGATATTCAAGTTTGATTTTCATTCATGTGATAGATATTAATTTTTATAACCCTAGGAGGTTGATATTGAATTAATTGGGAACCCGTTCTTTAAACAATCCTATCTTGAGAATATGTAAGTTGTCAAATGAAAAGAGAAAAGAATTGTAATGTATGGGTAATTACAAAGTTAGTGAAATCTCATGTCATCAGTGGTCTGAGCATCTTACTTTCAAATTTATGCTAATAAATTGGAAACAATACTACATAAGTTCTTTAGAAATGTGACACCTGTTTAAATTTAAAAAATCCATTTTATTGACCATGACTACCATATTACATCATCAACTTTTAATATCCCTTCACACTTCTTATTGAGGTATCGCAATGGCATATTAATAATTGATGAAATGAACTGCTCACTTTTGTTCAAGAAATTGGATTTTTGAGTTCCTACAGAGGTATCTAGAAGAAACAATTCATTTCCATTATCAACCTACCCTTCCAGTTATACAATAAACAATTCTAAGTTATAATGTGTAAGTTGTTGAATGATGAGAGTTGTAATGTATGGGAACCTGACAGAATGAAATTTATCAGAGAAACGAAAGAGAAAGTGTTACTCTATGAGCAAAGGTTTATTTTCATTTATCATATCTATTCGCAGGTGTTTTAAAATAATTTTGTACATATGGTCATTTGTCTGTAAGTTTATAAAATAAATAATTTTAAATTCTATCCCTTCCCTTCGTGTTCTACCTTCTTCAATCTAGAGTATTCCTACCCTACACCACCCGTCTTTTTTTGTTGGCGTTGTATTTAACCAGTCACAGTGAGGATCAAAACGGACTGGCTATGAATTGGGAAACAGTGAATCTTTATATCAAATCAACTAGTGTCAGTGAGTCCCAAAAGAAATCCTATCATACAGTTCTTCTTATTTTAGCCTCTACATGAATCACTGTAGAGATTCAGTTGAGGGCACATTCTCATTAAGGTATATAATAAGAAAAGAGGATGTTTTGGTTTGGTCTTTTTTGGCAATACCTTCATGTTATAGAAAAAATCCGCTTTTTCAGTTTTACCTGCAATATTCAACCACTGCTTTTGGAGAAACAAATTAATTGCAGTGATTCTTATATTCTTCACCTTGAAGACAAGCTCGTTTTATCTTCTCTATTTTGTAATATTCTGCGTTTCATACTCCTTACTTTCTTTTCTTATAGTCTTTAACAGAAGACTCCATTACATTAACAGCTTCATAGAGCAATGCTGTTGTGATTTTCACAACTACACGTATAAGACAACAACAAACAATGACAATTGAGCTCTCTTGCCCCTGTTACTCGAAATAGAGCACTAAAGTTTGTTGTTATGTGCATAAAAAAGCTTTTTGAAATAAATTAATAACAACACTGGTTAAGTTTCTTTATGCAACAATCATTGACATTTGAATGTAAAACAAAATAATAAACAGTAGTATAAACAATATTAAGCTCATTGCCGATAACCTTTTTATAAACTGTTACTCTTAATGTATGAAAGGCTGGAAGACATTTGACTATTGCCATTTCATAAATAAACTGTAAAAATGAGTGTTCATTTCATAGCTTTGTTATTGTCTGACTAGGGCCCTAACAGAATTAAAATGCATGTCAACGCCCACAGAAACCTATCCCACCTGTATCTCGTTTTGACAAAAAATTCCCTTAAGCCCTTTCATAAATAACCAATTCATATAGAATATAAAGAAAATATGACACAAATATAAATATTTCACTTTAGACAATTGAATGTGAAATAGTCAAGCATGCATAGAAGTACTGACATGTTATTGATTCAAGACCTCTGTAAAATAATTTCAAGTATCTGGTTCTCTCAATATATTCATGCATAGATGCAATTAAGATCAACCTATTTTTGTGAATATCATATATGGGAAGAAAACCTGGCAGAGACTATCATTTTCAAATAAAAAATATTTCACATTATGAAATTAAATGTATAATATATCTACCAGGGGTAATATTAATTTTCAATAGGATTGAAAAGTGTCCTGATACATACATCCAGGTATTTAGGGAAGGGGAATATCATTCTCCAGCAACCATTTTAGAAAGAATAACTAGAAGGTGAAGACGGAAGAAGTACGATGAGGGGGGGAAATCTCAGTCAAGATGAGTAGGATGGTCTGTGTATTGATGTGAGATGTCAAGTAGGTAAAAGTGCACTATCAACTTGTGATGCATTGTTACATCTTTATTACTAATTTTCAAGGTGTGCAGAAATTGAAGGAAAACTATGCAGCCTCCAGCCAAGTGAGAGGCATTTATGGTTTTGTTAAATACTCAGAAACTTGGGAAAAAATCCAAAAACAATTAAGCTGTTTAGATTATTCCTTACAATTAAGCTGTGTTATTCCACCTATTCTCTTACAACACACAATACAGCTGATGTTATGCGATAACAGAACACTGAAAAAGAAGCCGCTTGACATTAAACATTTGCTACATACAGGTTGCGTTTTGGAACAGCAATTTTTTGATATTCTTGGTATGTAAAGATATTGGATATTCTGTTGTACTGTGGATCAGTATGTACTTTTCTGTTTTATGGCAGTATTCATTAAAGTGATTTTTGTTAAAATATTTAATTTATTGTTGTGTTATACAAGAGCCTTGTATTTATTGTTCTTGAGCAGTATGTGTGTTCTACATTTTGGAAATTCATTTTGTGTGGTTTTCTTCAACAGCATTTTTGCTGCTGCAGCTAGTTTTACATCTCTTGTTGAATTTCATGATATCACTCTTGGAAGTGGAAGGTCACTGTACGCACAGTGTGTTTCTTTCCCCATTTTTGAAATCCTCAGGTTTGAGTTGTTAGGGGCCGGTGCATGCGTGCTAATTATCATTGCCTTGACTTAAAAGTGTCTAGGTCTCTGATACCTATGTCAGTCTATCAGTTAAGAAAGTACAAAAAGTGTGCAAATACAGGACAGGTGAGTTAATTTTCTTTCCAGAAACATTAAGATCTCTGATAATGCATTGTAAATATTGTTATCGTTTAAGAAGTGATTTGTTTGTAGATTTAAACCTTGTGCTCTGTTGCTGTGACATGCAGTTTATAATCATTGATTCTAGAATTAACCATATTTGTTTTAATAATTATTTTCAGATAGAGAAACCAGGATATTCAATACAGATACCAGAATTTAGTCTGCAGTTGTTTCCTAAAGAGCCATATACTGCAGGCAAGTGTATTTGGCACTTGAGAACAGTGATAGATATTTTTTTTATTGAGGATGTATTGTTTTTGTTTAACTTGTTAGTTTGTGTTTTTTAATTAGTTTTCATTTTTTTATATGCATGTTTGCTTGTTCACTGTATTTGTGTATTTGTGTGAGTTCTTGTTAATTATCTGGAAAGATAAAGAAGCTCAAATCTAATGCTCTACTTATCCGCTATTAGGGCTAATTGACATCCACTTTTGCCTTTGAGAATATTGGTGATTTTACGTATGAATAAAATATGAATTTGACATTATACTGCTAAACCAATAAGATCATTTTATCAGTAAAGTTGGGATGTGAAAACAAGGCAACATTTTATATTCCTTTCACTTCCCCTTACCTCTATGACATCTGTTAAAGCTTCTTTATCTTGAAAAACCTCCTGTCTTTACCAAAGAAGTCTACTGGATCTAAAGACCCCTGAATTCTTGAAACAAGCTTTAATTTCATTTTGAAAAAATGTTAATGGTTAAAAAATGGTGTTAAATTTGTTTAATTTTTGAACATTACATTTCATTCTTTATTTTTGAAGATGTGTGTTCACATTTGGATTGATATCATACATTTCAGAGCTAATACAGGTTTTTGATCGTAATTTTAGGGTAAATTTTCATTTCTTAGAAGTTGAAATTCCTATCAAATTGATAAATTGGGAAATTCCTATCTCTTGGAGTTGATAATCATTTGAGATCTGCCCTCTTGTGACCCTTGAAATGGCTCTTCATCTTGGCTTCTCTGGTTCACTTATTAGCCCTTGTAAGTGAGATATGTTGCAGCATGGAATTTGAAAGTTCTGCACCATACAAAGACATTTTTATGTGTAGAAACATGAAAATATGATGAGCTGTACTGCTGTCCATGACTTATATAAATTTTCTTTCTTGCTTTTTAAAAATTCGTTTTGTTTGAATATAATTACTAATAAATTATGTTGGTGAATGTGTTGTTATTAGAAAAGTTAATCATATCTTTTGTACCTACTTTGGTTACAGATAATAAAAATAAAATATTTATTTTGCATGTTATTTTCTGAGATACTATGATGTGAAGTCAATTACTACTTTAAAGCAAAAAATAGTGTTAATTGCTATTTACAATTTTTGAAAATTTTGGATAGTTGCATTGTATTTTTGTAATTATGAAGGCTTATTTTAGAGAACTTAACCTACCTCAATTTTTTTGACTTTTAGGTACAAAAAGTCAAATGACTTTCCATCTGTTTCTTGCTAATAGCTACGGAATATACTGATACTTTCCCATTGACGACTTCTATTACGCCTTCAATGGTTGATTGAAGCATTGGCAATGGTGTATCGAATCAGGTGGAGAATACTTTGAAACGTTCTGAAAAGTGTGTAAACTGATATTGAATCAGTGATTTAAACAAAAATACATACCGGGAACTTTTGGGTCAGACCTTGTATTTTTTACGCAGTTCTGGTAGTATAGTTAGATAAGATAGTTCTTTTTATTTTGATCTCCTGATTTGGTAACTATAATCACTTCTATTACTTTTCACTAGATTATTTTTAATATTTTTCTCATTGAATGGTAATAAGTCTCAAGTTGAAGAGCAAATGTTCGGCAATTTTTGGCAATTTTGGTTACTTCTGCTTGAAATAATGTCTGAAAGTTGCGTCAGTTGATATTATATTCCTCCAAATATTTCTTTTCGTTGCATATATTCACTCTGGATATCATGTATTGTCTTTGAATAGTTTTCTCTGCTCGTTTTTCGTCACTATAGCCCTTGGCTACTTCACATCCCCTATACTTAACAGGATGAATTGCAGTCGACCCGTTTCAGTGACTCATCATTCATCTCACAGTGTAATGTCAAGTCCCCCTCCACCCACTCACGCACGCGTACACACACGCGCGCGCACACAAACACGCACGCGCGCGCGCTCGCACACACACACACACACCACTCACACTCTCTCCTCTCTCTCTCCTCTCTCTCTCCTCTCTCTCTCCTCTCTCTCCTCTCTCTCTCCTCTCTCTCTCCTCTCTCTCTCTCCTCTCTCTGTCTCTCGATAGGATCTCTATCAACTGCTTGATGTGCCAAATGTATCTGAACCGCAGGATACTAATCGATTAGTCGCCCCTAACAGAACACATGCGGAAATAGGGTACATAAAAAAATTTGGAGCGGATTTCTTGAAAATTTTGAAAATGTCTGAGGGACTTTAAGTGAAGTACCCCCAAAATTAAAATATCGGTTTTAAAATCCAGGGGCTGCGACATCAGTCAAATAGATTGAACAATATCAATTTTGCAGAAAATCGGGAAAACTGTTTTGCCGCTAGCCACGGGCGGACGGACGTTTTGCCATCAATCGAATTTTCGATATCAAGAACCAACAAAACATAGATTCTGGCAACACCATGTGTTAGAGGACTTTTTCCTTTAATTTTAGCAACAGGCTTTATACACTTTTTCATTACCAGAGCCTGACTATATTACTTTTTCTGGCGAAAATAAATTTCGAAATTTATTAAAATTCGCCCCCTAGTGATGGGGGTAGTAGGGTGGAGATGCCCTTCTGAAGAGCATGTTGCAAGGCATCCTAGATAAGATCAATAATGTTCATGTCAGGAAATTTTGATGGCGAGCGGAAGTATTTAAATTCATAAGGGTTTCTTCAGCCACTCTGTAGCAATTCTGGACGTGTGGGCAGTCGCATTGTCGTGCTGGAATTGCCCAAGTCCGTCGGGATGCACAATTGACATGAAAGGGTGCAGGTGACCAGATAGGATGCTTACGTACATGTCACATGTCAGAGTCGTATCTAGACGTATCAGGGGTCCTATTTAACTCAAAATGCTCACGCTCCATACAATCACAGAGCCTCCACCTTCTTGAACAGTCCTCTGTTGACATGAAGGGTCCATGGATTCAAGAGGTTGGCGTCATACTCACACACGTTTATCCTCTTGAATCAATCTAACAACTGTGCCCTGGTCTGGTTGTCCTATATAGTCGTTGCCGACCGGAGCGCCGTATTCTGATTGGTTCCAAATTTCTTTACTTCAATACGCATGGCTGTACCGGTTTTTTGGCGCTTGAGAGTAATACAAATAAATCAAAAGTAGCTCTCCACGCATGGGAAACTGCGCCCGCCAGTCGTTTCAAAAACACCCGCCTCCTGACCAGGGAAGACTGCTGGGGACTGAGGAGGGTAAAAGAGTCTGTGCAAATGATCAAACATCCCCAAAACCTCAATGCCGACCGAAACCTACGTCTCAAAGAGACCTGGTTTACCGCGACGCCCGGTCGAGGTAGTGAAGTAGTTTAGTTGAGTTTGTGAAGTAGAATATTGGAGAAATATTCTGAAAAGAATTGTAGAAACTGAAATTTTTAGCATCAAGAAGATTGTCTTTCGGTAACGAGATTATTACAAAATAAAAACTTTTTAGGCTGCATTCAGTTGATATCCAAAATCGATCCGTTTATGGCCATATTGTTCGGTATGGAAATAAAAGGTTCGCATTTGTGAAAAACGGGTTTAGAAAATGGTAATTCGGCGAGAATGCTCTATTAAAGAAACTGTTGATAAGAGATATTTCCAACTCACAAGATTATTTTAAGACTATTTAATGTCTGTAAATAATGTAAATGGCGAACAATTTTTCTCTGTTTTGAAGCGCGTAAAAAAGTATCTGAGATCGAGTTTTAAATAAGACACAATGCATTATCTCTGTTATACATAGAAAATGACATTTTGGGACACGTAGAATTTGAAGACGACTTCTTTTTTCTTCTTCTTCTTCTTCTTCTTCTTCTTCTTCTTCTTCTTCTTCTTCTTCTTCTTCTCTCATTCTTCTTCTTTCTTCTTTTCTTCTTCTTCTTCTTCTTTTCTTCTTTCTTTCTTCTTTTCTTCTTCTTTCTGCTTTCTCTTTCTTTTTCTTCTTTCTTCTCTTTTCTTTCTTCTTCTTTTTCTCTTCTTCTGCTTTCTTCTTTTCTTTCTTCTTTCTTCTTCTTTCTCTTCTTTCTTCTTCTTTGTCTTCATCTTCTTCTTCTTCTTCTTTCTTCTTCTTTCTTCTTCTTTCTTCTTTCTTTTTTCTTTCTTCTTCTTTTTCTTCTTTCTTCTTCTTTTCTTCTTTCTTCTTCTTTTTCTCTTCTTCTTCTTCTTTTTCTTCTTTCTCTCTTTTCTTCTTTCTTCTTTTTCTTCTTCTCTTTCTCTCTTCTTTCTTCTTCTTCTTTCTTCTTCTTTCTTCTTCTTCTTTCTTCTTCTTTCTTTCTTTCTCTTCTTTTCTTCTTCTTTCTTCTTCTTTCTTCTTTCTTTCTTTTCTTCTTCTTTCTTCTTCTTTCTTTCTTCTTTCATTTCTTCTTCTTTCTTCTTCTTTCTTCTTTCTTTCTTTGCTTCTTTCTTTCTTTCTTCTTCTTTCTCTTCTTCTTTCTTCTTTCTTCTTCTTCTTTCTTCTTCTTCTTTCTTTTCTCTTTTTCTTTCTCTCTTCTTTCTTTCTCTTCTCTTTTCCTTCTTTCTTCTTCTCTTTTTCTTCTTCTTTCTTCTTCTCTTTTTCTTCTTCTTTCTTCTTCTCTTTTTCTTCTTCTTTCTTCTTCTCTTTTTCTTCTTTCTTTCTTCCTTCTCTTTTTCTTCTTCTTTCTTCTTCTCTTTTTCTTCTTCTTTCTTCTTCTCTTTTTCTTCTTCTTTCTTCTTCTCTTTTTCTTCTTTCTTCTTCTCTTTTTCTTCTTTCTTCTTCTCTTTTTCTTCTTTCTTCTTCTTCTTTTTTCTTTCTTCTTCTCTTTTTCTTCTTTCTTCTTCTTCTTTTTTCTTTCTTCTTCTTTTTTCTTTCTTCTTCTTTCTTCTTCTTCTTTCTTCTTCTTCTTCGATGGCGCTACAGCCTTGGTTGGGCTCGGTCCTCGCCAATAATTCGCCTCCAATTTTCTCTGCTTTCTGCAGCTCTTCTCCATATTCTTATCCCCAACTGTTTCCTTGCATTTTGGGTGACATCATC